CTAAAAAGTTTTTTAATATAACACAAATCTAAACAGTATATGATCCACAAGTTTGATGGCATGTTTATTCTAATCATTTCTTTATTATTAATGTAAATATAAATGTATAATGTTTGTCATTTTTTGCATTAATTTTATTTGTAGGAATATATAAAAGCTCATTGTATTTTTTAATGTTTACTGTCTTTTTTTCGAGTTTAATTCATATAACAAAAGTTCCAATTATGCTTATTGGAGTTGCAGGTTATTTTTGTTCTGACCAAGATTCTATAATCAATTTTCTTAAATCTAAATACGACTTTAAAAATGGAGACGACAAAGTGAAAGAATGGATCGAAGCAAAGCGTAAAGCTGGAAAGAAAACTGAAGAAGATTGGGTTGAACTCTTAAAAATGGTCAAAAATAATTTTAAAGAGAATTATTATGTGACCAATTTAGATTTAGAAAGATTAAAAGAATATAGGTAATTCTTATATATAACCTTTTAATACGAATTATAAAGATATAAATTTAACGACATTTCCTTATAGAAAAAGCCCTCTTTTTTTATTATTGGCCGTGGATAATAAATTGAGTGATAAATACAAAATCTGGGAAAAAGAGTGAGTATTAATACACTGTTTTTACATCTGACTTTGATCGACACTGTCACGTGCATTCTGTATGCGTCTCTGATTGGCTGTCAATCACGAGTTTGCTGATAATTCATCTAAATAAAAATTTTATTTTGCTCCTAGTTACCCGTTAATTAACTTTAAAACATTTATGGAACAAAATGATAAGTGGTGGGAAGAAGATAAAAACCATAAAATAATGTCTATCGCTGATTTCACTGTGAAATCAGAAGATGACCTTCGTAAAATAATGACCGAGAATGTTGAAACATCAGATGATGAAAAAAAGGTATTGTCACCATTGCGATCAAAGAAAGATGTTTATTTTATGTATTTAGCAGAATTGGTAGCATCAAGAACAAATTGTATGAGCCGTAAAGTTGGATGTGTATTAGTTAAAGACGGGTATAGAGTAATCGCAACTGGATATAATGGAACACCCACGGGTCTTAAACATTGTATTGGAGGTTATTGTAAAAGTTGTAATGGTGAAGATAAGGAATTTTGTAAATGTATACACGCGGAAGAAAATGCGCTAATGATAGCCGGAATGTATGCAGAGGGTTGTACTCTTTATTGCACTACGTAAGTATATGTTAAATATAAATGAAATTTATCGGATCCTATTATTTTCCCGACAATGTCAAAATCCCGGCAAGTTAATCCGAGGGTTAGTTCCGGTCAATTTTTGGTTAGTCAGGAAGTGATTGTCTGGAAAATGTAGAGATCCGAAATTTATATATAACAATATATCAGACATATAATTTTTTTTTAGGTCACCGTGTCTTAGTATGTATATAATATGTTTTTAATGATCTTATTATTTCTTTTTACGTCATAATGAGCTTGTTATTTGAATTTTTAAGACTGTGCAAAAAAATTAATTCAAGCAAGGGTCAAAAAAATTTTCTACAACGAGTAAGAATGAATCCTAAAATTCCTTTATAGTGTTGTTTCATTTAATTATCTATTCAAGTACTTATATAATTATTTGAATAATATAAATTTCAAAGCCCTTACAAAAAAGGTCTGAAAGAGGTTGAGGAATTATTTAACGAAGCTAAAGAAATTGAAAAAGAACGTCTCAGTGATAATAAGCTACCGCCAAAAAAATTCATGTTATATCCTTTATAATTATACTAGCAAGCCGACTCATGTCCAATCAAAATATATCTAAATTTAGGAGTTTTTTTTTTTTTCTTAAATTAGGTTTTTCATTTAAGCATTTATAAAAATATGAACGTGTTTTCATATATTATTTATATTTTTAACAGATTTATATTCAGAATTAAATTTTATTTCAAACATTTTGCGATTAAGCCATACAAATTTAATTACTTGGTTTTCATAACATGAAACTTTTAAATTGCTATAAAATTTTATGAAATTTATATAAAAAATTTTTTAAACCCACCCAGTTAACTCATACAGGAATATCCCCAAAATTCCTGGTCACAGGGCCGGAAATGATCGATTTTGCCCAAAATCACTAAGACTCAGCTGATAATTTTGCTATAGAACCTACTAACCACTAGGGCTAAATGCCGACCTAAATCCGACCAGGAATTTTGGGGATTGCTCTGTAAAAATCGTTCAAGTCGATCCAGTCAACATTATTTATTAATCGAATATTTGATATAATCTATTAATTCTTATCCATGCCGATTTATGATTCTTATAACTTATAGTCTAAAAATTTATATACAAAATATATATTGATAATAAATTTTAGTCTTATCTGAAATTAAATCTAAACCCAATAAAATCACAAAAAATTAGGCTATAAATGTTCGATACGCTAACTGTATTAGAACTGATAGTCTTTTGGTCTATCCTACATAAGTGTTTAGAATAAATAACTCCCGAATATTTATTATTTTACTTGTGAAAAAATTCGGCTATCAATTTTTCTTGAGCAATGCTACGTATGAATTGTTCAACCCGAACTCTCGAACTGAACTTGAACCTGAACTGAACACATGTTAAATGTACAGTATCAAACATGAACCATTTTGTTTATAGTTTGGTTCAGGAACGCGTGTGTACTTATTTGTGTGCGAGTGATACAAATTCAAAAAGGGAAATTAGCCAATCGGTGAATGTAAAATGTAATGATCCCGGATCAGCCCGACACGTGAGCAAAGCGAAGAAAAACACAAAAAAAAACTGAAAAAGAGAAAATACTCAAAAACTAGTGTTTAAATCGACCTTGTTGGACTAATAAAAAATAACAGGAACAAAATTTTACATATAAAAAACTCACATTATCACTAAAGCTCACAACCCTAACACTAACCCTAATGCTAACCCTAACGTCCTAATCACTAAACTTTCTTAGTTTATTTACAAATGTGATTTCCTTTTTGGGTTTGTGCCACTCACAAAAATAAGTATTTCAATAATCAAGTGACCTGTTTAAAACGGATCACTCAGTTATAATCAGGTGACCCGGTTAACTGACTAGTCAACTGGTTATCTAAATTACACTACCAATTAATACGAATAATTATATGAAAATAGGAGAATTTGCTAATGTTTTGTATATTTTTATTTATATTTCCCTACAAAAATCACAGTCACTTTTTGCGCAAACTACTACGTATAAACAAAATCATTCTATTTTTTAAAAAGGTTGTAAACTTTTTCAGATATAGCAATAAGTAATTAGCAGTTTTAATCAATTAAGATTTAAAAAAAAAAAGTAGATAACCACAGTATAGCAGCAGGAACATCAAAAATCAAGCTTGATGACTATGAAAATCAAGCAAGAGAAATAAAATATAAATGCCCAAGATTTTATTTAGTAAAATAAAATAGTTTAATTTATTAAAATATAAGTCTTTTTGGAATTTAACATATAATAAGAAAAATATAAATTATTATTACCAATCATATTGTTTGGAAGTATCATTGTGAATGTATTTATTAGTCTAAAAAAATATTGAATATAAAGACCCGTAACTATAAAATAAAATAATATTTAGTAGAATATACTGTAAAATAAAACAGGTATGCCACATAATTATTCTTACCATTGTAGTCCAAAAAAATTTGCAAATTAATTTGATTAAAATTAAATATCCGGCTTAAGTTCTATTGACAAATATTATTAATAGCCCAAAATGTAAGATGATTGTATTTATAATCTGTGCTCATATAATTCTGCTATATAATTTTTTTTTTTTTTTTGATTTTTATAAAGCGCGAAATAAATTCATATTATTGGCTTTTTCTTCTTTTATACTGCCCAATCTAATTTTCAATGTATTACTATCTCTGGTTGTGCATCATTTGATTCATCCAGCTTGAAAATAGGAAAGTGCTACATGTTGCATTTAAGAAAAATCATTTGCTCAACCATATTAGGATGAAGCCTGTTACAAAGTGCAGTAATATGTAATCCAGCATCAGAGAATAATTGCTCTGAAGAGACCAAGGTGGCTAGTACTGACAGATATTTCTGAGCCAGATGCAATAATACAGGGTATTTTTCGGATCTATCCTTCCACTATGTTAATGGATTACAGCCTGATTTCTCTATTCATTCATGAAGATAATGATCAACTTCGGTTTCATTATCAATTTTATCATCCAATTCTTTACTACTATATAAATTTGCAATTAAGCTATTGGTTGTTACAGGTTCATGAACTGGCATACTAACTGACTCATCAAGCCTAATTGAAGGTTGCTGGTATTCTTCTTTAGCACAAAATGTTTACACTGTATCATATACTGTTGCCTTTCACTAGTTGAAGTAAAAAAAATCAGGTATATGTCTTATTTTAAACTGATATATGCCCGATTGTTGTTAAATTACAAATTCGCTATAGCCCCGATTGATGCA